GAGGGACGGTGAGAGAGGGACGGTGAGAGGGCAACGGTGAGGCAGTGACAGTGAGGCAGCGGCAGTGACGGTGACGGGGGGACGGTGAGAGCGGGACTCTGGTGGAGGTATGGCGAAGGCTGGAAAGCCCGGAACAGGACTGCGGCCGTAGAAAGGAAAGTTGGACTCTCTTTAGATGTCTTTTTCCTTCTTATCTTATTCTAAGTTAGTGTGAATGGCGCCCTATATGTACAGCAAAATTTTCACTGTAGTTTTACATTGGATACATATGACAATAAATGATTTAATCGAATAGACTGATGGGGCGGTAATTAACTGAATTGGATTTGTCCTGCTTTTTATCTGTAGGACAGAGCTGGGCGATTTTGAGTGGTTGAGTGGGGTTGAGTGGTGGTGTGGGCCCTTGGGATCTGTCTCCACTTAACCACTTAGTCCTTTACCACCCACCCCTTGTCTTCAGCGTAAATATCACCTTTTCCCAGCTACTGCCAGAAGAAGAGTCATACCAGACTCGACATGTTAACTTTGTTTCTCTCTCCACAAATGCTGCCAGACCTGCTGAGTTTCTTTAGAACTTGCTGTTTTTGTTTTAGATTTACAGCATGTCCAGTTCTTTGTTTTTTGATGATGCTATATATTGTTGCATTCATTGGATACAAGAGCATGGATGTATAACTTAAGATCACAAGACAGCTAAATGGGGCAATTCCCCTTGAAGGCAACAGGCTGTTCTCAGCTGAAGAAGGGTCAACATGGAATCACAAAATCTGTACAGTGTGGAAGCAAGCCATTGGCCTATTGAGTCCACATTGACCCTCTAAAGGGCATCGCACCTAGACCCACCCCCCTCTCTACCCTGTCCCTGCATTCTCCATGGCTAATCCACCGAGCCTGCACATCTCTGGACCGTGGGAGGAAACCAGAGCACCTGGAGGAAACCCACACAGACACGAGGAGAATGTGCAAACTCCACACAGACAGTGGCCCGAGGGTGGAATCTAACCCAGGTCCCTGGCGCTGTGGGGCAGCAGTGCTAACCACTGAGCCACCCTAGACATTATAAAGGAGGATATCCTCAGAAGGAGAAAAGTGTCATGAAGGCTGCTCACCACTGCACCAGGGCAAGTTGGGGTGGACACAAATGTTGGCCTTGCCAGTGATGCCCACGTTCCATGGCCGAGTTGGCACGAAGGGCAAGAGCAGGAAATGATTGTTTATTTATAAAGGAAACAGGCAAACGAAATGATAAAGTGGCATAGCAGGAGGAGAGGACTTGTCTGCACTTTGCGAGTGAGTATCAATTCAGCCTTTAGCCTCCAGCTCTTCTTCCTCTGAAGCACAAAGATAGCGGGTAATTCCCCCTGAACTGATGAGGTTGGGGGAGTGCAGGGGCTGGTGGACGACCGGGAGAAGTTGCGGGCACCATGCAAACAAATCAAAATGGCAGCAAAATCACCAAGAAATCCACGCTGACCCATTCTGTAGCCCCGAGTCATGGTCATGTACGAGGACAATTCAGAATAACTGACAAATGGGACGCTTAACATCACCGTGGCATTGCTGCCTCTTTTAACTATTTTATTCACTCAGAAGTCTCTTGATGCTTGCATTGAGCTCTTGTAATATATTTTTGGTGGTCCAGACTCCAGGTGGGCTGAAGGACCTATCCCGTACTGTATGATTCAATGAAGCATCCTGTTACTTGTTTTACCTCCAGCAAAATGAACTTCCCGAAACCAGTTTGTAACCTTCTCTGGGCTTTTGAAAGGGGTAATAGTGGATGGAGTCTGGTGGGGCTCCCAGGGGTGGAGGTGAAGGTTGGGGCTGAGCTTGCAGGGAACAAGGTGCGAAGGGGAATGGAATTGCGTGAGAGGAAACCAGAGCACCCGGAGGAAACCCACACAGACACAAGGAGAATGTGCAAACTCCATACAGACAGTTGCCCGAGGGTGGAATCGAAATCAGGTACCTGGTGCTGTGGGGCAGCAGTGCTAACCACTGAGCCACCCCAGCCAGCAGCGAGGTGAGAGTTTACGATTCCCTCCTCGGAACGCTGAAGGCGGGTCAAGTTTCTTGCCGGGGAGTGTGACATCCGCCCCTTTTTTTTTGCACGTCACGTGGGCTCATGAAGAGGCCGGCTCACCAGAATCGCGTTCCCCTTCCTGGTCACGTATTGGGCAAGAATGTGGTAGAGGCAGGTTCAGTTGAGGCCTTCAAGAGAGGCGCTGGATGCCAATTCGGATGGATATGGTGTACAGGGATTGGAATTAGGGAACAGAACCGGCGCAGGGCACAATGGGCTGAATGGCCTCCTTCGGCGCCATAAGAATGCCGTGATTTTGCGAGCGAGCCATACGTCCTCTTTTTTTTGTAGCCGGCCTGCAGGTGAGGTTCTGTCCTGACTGGACTTTGGAGTGAATAGTTGTCGCTTTCAGATCATTCAGGACAGAAGAGGTGCCTCAGCCCATTGAGACTGTACTGCCCTCTGGGAACATTTGTCTATTTCAGCAATGATTGATACTGCATTTCGGGTGCTCCAATTTGCGCGCTGTTGTGTATTTGCAAAAGCATGGCAGACTGTCGCTTAAAAGAGTGCAATCACGTGACATGACAAAGATGCCATTGGCCATTTTTGAGCAGGAAATGGCTCAGTCTAACTTTGCTGCCTGTAGACCGAACACCTCCATCATAAAGTTCCTGCTGTTTAATGCTTCAGTCTCCCCTGTCTTCACGGAACTTAATACACAGCGATGGAGGATGATCAAGGGGGCGGGAGAGGAAATAGAGTCCCTATAAAGACACTGACCTGGGGAGGGGGCCATGTCTGTCCAGCCTAGGGAAGCAGGCTGACCGGGGATAGGCACGAGGGCTGGAAAGTGTGACATTCCTGGCTGCCTGTCTGGGAGCTGTGAATGTATTGTGCAAGGAATTTTAGCTCCCTGAAGGTAACAGTGCTGGCGAGGACAACAGGGGAGCTCCATGCGTGTGCCCAAATACGCAGCCAGGGTTAGTATTGATCTAGATAACACAGTGTGGAGCTGGAGAAACCGGGCAGCATCAGAGGAGCAGGAAAGTTGACGTTTCAGGTTGGGACCCTTCTTCAGAAATGTGATGCTGCCTGGCCCGCTGTGTTCCTCCAGCTCCACACTGTGTTAGCTCTGACTCTAGCATCGGCAGGTCTTACTATCGCTGAGGTAGTATTGATCTGCTGCCCTCCATATCCTGATCTATGTTGACAATACCACCTAGCCCCCACCCTCCCCTTGTAAACAGAAAATGACCTCTGACTTGCTAATCATTATATTTTTGGGGACCAGCCACTTATTGACACTCAGCATTTTTTTTAAAAAAGCCTCATTCATAGGATGTGAATATTACTGCCTAGGATTTATTGCCCATCCCTAATTGCCCGGGGGTAGTTAAGAGGCAGTCAGGTCGCTGTGGGTCTGGAGTCACATGTAGGCCAGACCGGGTAAGGATGGCAGATTTCCTTCTCTGAAGGAACCAGATGGGCTTTTACAATGATTGACAGTTGTTACAAGATCATCAATTCTTTTTTTAATTCACTTGTGGAACATGGGCGTCGCTAGCTGGGCCAGCATTTATTGCCCATCCCTTGTTTCCTATGGAGTGGAAGCAGGCCATTCGTCCCATCAAGTCCACACCAACCCTCCAAAGATCATCCTGCCCAGACCCACCCCCTATTCTATCCCTGTAACCCTGCATTTCCCATGGCTAATCCACTTAGCCTGCACATCCCTGGACTCTATGGGGTAATTTAGCACGACCAATCCACCCTAACCTGCACATCTTTGGACTGTGGGAGGAAACCGGAGCACCCGGAGGAAACCCACACAGACAGGGGGAGTATGTGTGTGAACTCCACACAGACAGTCACCCGAGAGTGGAATCGAACCCACATCCCTGCCGCTGTGAGGCAGCAGTGCTAACTACTGAGTCACCGTGCCCTCGAGAAGGTCGGGGTGAGCTGCCTTCTTGAACCGTTGCAGTCCATGTGCTGTAGGTTGACCCACAATGCCCTTAGGGAGGGAATTCCAGGATTTTGATCCAGCAACACTGAAGGAATGGCAATATATTTCCAAGTCAGGATGGTGAGAGGCTTGGAGAGGAATTTGCAGGGGGTGGTGTTCCCATGTATCTGCTGCCCTTGTCCTTCTACATGGAAGTGGTCGTGGGTTTGGAAGGTGCTGTCTGAGGATCTTTGGTGAATTTCTGCAGTGCATCTTGTAGATGGTACCCACTGCTGCTACTGAGCGTCAGTGATGGAGGGAGTGGATGCTTGTGGATGTGGTGCCAATCAAGCGGGAGCTGCTTTGTCCTGGATAGTATCAAACTTCTTGAGTGCCTGCTATGGTGGGATTTGAACTCCATCATATCCCCAGAACATTTACTTGGAGCTCTAGATCACCACAACACCAACACCTCTCAGGAGATAGAGACATTATTGTCTACTCTGGCCTGCTATGATCGATGATCCAAACTGCCCATTTATTGGCATTGAGATACAGCACAACATTTGCAGATGTGAAATGTCCAAACAAAATTGCTTTGACCAGGGCTATGTATGAACTACTGTTAAAACTGTCATGTCATTGATATTGGTTTAACAGTCAATGAGTCATCAGGCGCTGGTTAACTCTGTGGCCTGATTTATTTAAGAAGCCAAGCAGATTGCAAGTTATAAAACAGACATTACAACAGGGCACAAGACAAAAGACCCTGAGCTTCTGTTGCCTGCCATTTCAACACACCACCGTGTTCCCTGGCCAACATCTCTGCCTCATGCTTGCTGCAGTGCTCCAGCACAGCTCAGCGCAAGCTGGAGGAACAGCACCTCATTTTCCACTTGGGAACTCTACAGCCCTCTGGACTCTGAGTTCAACAACTTTAGTGTTTGAGGAACCTTCTCCCATGTCCTTACCCCTACCCCACACACCAGGCCTTGTTATCACATGGTCTGCTATTACACACCACCTACTGTTATCCACTAACTGTCCCCATGAACAGCTATTCACCCTCCCAGCCAGATCGTTATCCACTCCTTTGTCTGTCCAACTCTTCTTCTATCTCTTTAGGCTCTATCCCGACTTATCGTTCACTCCCTACGCAACCCCCCATCTTCTGCATATCAACTGACATTTTCCGAACTGCCATCACGTCTGAGGAAGGGTTAACTCTGATTTCTCTCCACAGATGTTGCCAGACCTGTTGAACTTTTCCAGCAATTTCTGTTTCTCCTGACAAAAAGGTGACCGATTCGTGTTCGCACAGCCTGCACACTCTAGTCAGACTGCTGGGCAGGCGGAGTCGCAACATTGTGTACACACAGCACCTCCAGTCCTTAAAGGTGAAGTCTCTTAAAGGCAAAAACAGCTCCTTACCTGCAAACTCATCAGAACATTCAGCAAGTCATTCATTCCTGTCAGTGTGTCCACAGTTTGGAAAACAGCCACCAACAACGTAGGGGTAATCGCGACTGTCCGTGTGAAGACCACACGGGTGAAACGAGACCACTTGAGGTTCAAGAAACCCTACGAAAGAGAAACCAAAGAAGACATTTTGAACTTTCCCTAGTTTCAGCGCCTACGGACCATAAAAAAAAAGACAGGGCCTCCTTAAGGTGCTGATTTCTTAATCCATAGGATCTGGAAATTACTAAAGGAACTTTCAAAAATTATTTCACAGGATGGCCTCTTCGCTAGCTGGCCATTGTTTCTTGCCCATCCCTAGCACTCCTTGGAAAAAAAAACTCGATGACTCTATGAGCTGCATAGTAGGGACACTTAATGTTGCGAAAATGAAACTGTGTTCCATACCCCTGTGCAATTGCTCAACTTATGCACTATTGAGGTTTAGTAGCTCTTCTAACATAGGAAAAGCAACAGCCAATGTGCCTACAAACATCAATGTGACCATGACCAAATAAACGGATTGTGTGGTCTGAGTTGAAGGATAATAATTTCCAGGACAGCAGGTGATAAGCCCCTGTCCTTCTTCAAAATAATACTATGAATCTTTTAGATCCATCCAACAGGATAGAGGGCACCTTAGTTTCATGTCTCATCAAAAAGACAACACCTCAGATGGTCTCTTCTTAAAAATTCCTTCATGGGATGTGGCTGTCATGGACTGGGCCAACGTTTATTGCCCGTCCCTTGTAGGCCTTGAGAAGGTCAAGGCCTACGGTGCAAGAGCAGGGAGATTGTGCTGGAACTGTCCAAAATGTTGGTGAGGCCACAGCTGGAGTGTTGTGTGTAGTTCTGGAATCCACATCATAGGAGGGATGTAACTGCAATGGAGAGGGTGCAGAGGGAGATTTACCAGGAGGTTGTCTGGTCTGGAGCAGAGGAGATTCACCAGGATGTTGCCTGGTCTGGAGCAGAGGAGATTTACCAGGATGTTGCCTGGTGTGGAACAGAGGAGATTTACCAGGATGTTGCCTGGT